GGGGAGAAGGAGCAGATTCGTTTCCTTGTCGACCTACCGACATGAAGCCGCCAACCAACGTGGTGTTCCTATCGTCAAGAATGACGTCAGAGCCCGTCCAATGCCACGTTCCGTTATTTGTGAGTACGTGTTCCTCAAGTACACGTCGGTTCTGCGAAGAAATGGGAAGAGTATTTAAACAAACAAAATGTCATTTTGAACAAAATGCAATATTTGTTTCCCTTTACGGAGCCCAAAAAAGAAAAAATAGTGAAAAACTACTTACAAGTTGGGAGTGTACTTGGAATTAAAACTATCATCCTTTGTCTAAACACTGTACACGTCGTATGGTCTCAACCGAGACTGGCGTCAGGGACGCAACATTCCCATATGAGGAAGTCCCTCTTCTCGAGTGTCTCCGTCTTTCTGGACAGCAGGGTCAAAACTTTCCGCCCCTCCCCCCTTAAAGACGTAAATTGTGTCGATGGTAGTTAAAGTGTGAGTAATCTAAACTTTAAAACAAGAAAATGCCAAATCGTCAGGAAAGAAGCAGCATTCACAATTATAGTAAATAATAACAGAAGGTCAAACAATACCAACGAATATAGCGGTATTTGTAACAACAACGACAATAATATAAAAAAACAACAACAGCAACAACAACAACAGCAACAACAGTAGGGACAACAACGCTAACTACAACCAAGATAACAACATCTCGTCCAGACATGAAACTCACATGGATTAGTTTGCCAAGGTCTACGTAGGCCACAAACGGTGTGGCAAAAAGCTTGACTCCCATCAGTGCTCCCACAGCGCCGCAGTCTGCGGGCTCCACCCCCATGGAATAGGACACGGGGTACAACAGGTAAGAGCACAGGTACTGTGGACAAATGGTTGATTTGCAAAATTTTAGTTACGGCATTTCAGTACTTTCGGCACCTTTAAATGAACAGTTTACAAAATTGTGTAGGTTCAACGCCCTTTACAACATTGCAAGGTTATGGGGGTGGGAACTCCGAATTTAACATCAATCTCCTACAGGAACCGAGGCAAATGCCCAGAGAGCCTTAAAGACAACCCTCCCTCCCCCCCCCAAACAAAGCAACCGAAGTACAAAACCTTTAAACCAAAGTCATCCACCTCGTAGTCCATCACGATATCAACAGAGCTAACGGCGCGTCCCTTTCATTAAACATAATCGTTAGTTAGTCTTAGAAGACGGAGCTTGAGCACATTACATCATAACACCCAGAACCCACTGGAACAGAATCCCAGACTCATTTCTTAGTCATGACCAGATTCCCAATGATATCTGCAATTGGGCGGGACGGGATGATTTTTAGAGCATTCTATATCAATGATAAAAAACAATTGTGCACCAAAGCCATTGAAAAAATACACGCTATAGAGACAGATCCACAGCATCAACTGCAAGTGTTTTTCTGTCTCTGTTAGTTATCCACCTCAAGTTTAAAATGTTTATGTTGTAAAAATAAATAGCTGCATATCGATCAACTTCAAGCTCAATATGTCGAGTAATGAGGCAAGCGTTCTTCATAATTTCTTCTTTTTTTAAAGGTTGATTCTAGACCAAACAAAGGGTCCATGAGAACATGTTTTGATAGGATACTCAGCAATTTAAAAAATTAGAACAAATCATGAGTCTAATAAGATGAGGAGGTCACTTGCAAAACATGCTAAATCAAGTTGGTCAAGTTAGGAAAAAATCTGCATTTTTTGAAAATCATAGAAAGTATGCACCATTATTTCCAATTTGCTGCGCATTGAGACTATGGGTTATGTAGACACCTTTTATGCTGTAGTTTATGATTTTTCATCTTAAATGAAAGTGATTATGGAATGCACAGTATTGACTTAGCAGGTTTTGAAAGTGGAACCATAACTTAGCAGCTTTTGATAGTGTTTCAAACAAGCCCTGTTGGATTCCTAGTAAAGGGGTTTGACCCAGGAGCTCTCCAGTATGTACTTTTTTTTATTGTACACAGAATACAGGTTAGACAAAAAATATGATACTATTACTAATAAAAGCTATTGCAGATATCTCTCATGTACCAAGCAATCTTCAATAGGCTGACATTTCTGACATATTTTTTTAAATGCCGTCAGTGAAGAAAGAAAAAAAGTGTGAATTTACCGGGTTTTTCTTTTAAAATGAAATACATATATCTTTACACAGTATTATGTGTTTTGATCTGCACTGGTTAAAACAAAACAAGAACCCAAAAAAAAACAAGAATATTTTTAACCCAGTGTATAGAGACATTTTTAAAGAAAATTCTTTTTGAGTCTTTTGATGGTGACTTAATTGCATTTTTCGGCGATAACAACATAGGTCGAGTCGAGTCGGCAATTTTGGATGAAAAAGAAACAGCCGAAAAAAGAGCACATTATGTGATTGACTAAAAGAATTACATGTATGTCGCGTCACGCAATTGGATAAAAAGTTTTAACAGGTTTTAGTAGAGTTTCCGCTCATGACTTAGTAGGTCTTGATGGAGTTCCACTTTTTTGTTACAAAATACAACATTATCTAGCAGGTTTTTCTGGTGGGGGTATTCATGGAACATGCGTATGTGACCTCTGAAGGGGCTCAGGGTGCTAACTCATTTTTTTTCAAAAACGTGACTTAGCAAGTTTTGCAAGTGACATTCTCAGATATTATACGGGGTGCCCACTACAGCTGGATCGGGCCTATCGCCCGACTCGATCGCCTGAAACTGAAAACAAACACGTTTGTTTTGAGGCGATCGTGTCGGGCGATCGGCCCGATCGGCCGATCCCGTCCATAGTGAGCACCCCGTATTACATATCCAATGCACACAACAAAATAGAGAGAGGAATACAACGTTACCTTATCTTTTAACATCTTTTATCAACATATTATGGAAATTGCATAATTTTATGCTCGTTTGACAAACTCGAAAAGGTCAGATTTTCTGTAACCAAGAGTAAAAGACTTAAACAAATGGGCGGCACCTGGGTGAAACAAAGCGGTTGCCAAAATAATGATATCGATGACACCGATTTTTCGCCCGTAGGACAATTTCCATCCCCTTTTTTTTTTTTTTTTTTTGCTTCAACCCCTTTTACGTCCATTAAAAAATACATTTTGTGTGGATTTTACTGACGGAATGACGAGCACCTTCTTCTACCTCTCAGTGACACAAATGTGTTCAATGTAGACAAATAAAACAACACAAAACTTACTCCAAACGTGAGGCCTTCTATACCAGCCCGCTCGCCCAGCCAGACCAGGAGGTGATCCACAAGGTTCATGGCGGACACAAACGCCATCATATTCACCATGATGGAGGCCACCAACTTGATGGAAAAACTGGCACCGTCGGAGCACGCCTGAAGGATATTCTTCTGATCTCTGTGGATACCAGGTTGTTCACATTTACGTTTTATCATGCACACCATGCTACCTTCGAACTGATCGTTAAACGGACCCGCATGTATTGGTGCAGTAGCCTTGATTCGAGTGAGATCCCAGATACGTTGTACTTTTATTGTCTTTTCTGAAATGTTTCCTCAAGCTCAGTGCCTGCTTCAACAAATCCAACTTTTTATCAAGTAGAGTGTAATAAAAAATTATATATATATTAAAATATTTATTTCGCAGCTCAGAATATACCATGTAATTATGAAATAAGTGCTGCATTCTCCTGATTGGTGTTTAAATGTTCTATTAATTTCAATTACGAAGTAAATCAGTTTGAAACACGGTGGACTACGTAAAGGATTGCACTGGTTCGAATCCCCCCACGGGGCGTTCTGAACTTGGGTTGTTTTGAGTAGTTTTTAAGGCTCTCTGCCCACCAGGCGGGGTCATATTGGAGGTAGACCTTACCTTAGGAAGTTGTGTCTTTTAAATAAAATTACAGCGTTGAAAGATATATTAAATTTTACACTGACCACTGGACCGACACAACAGTCACATGAAATTTCTGTTCCTATGTTTTTATCCCAATCTGTGCCTTCAAAGCAAAAGGGTATTATTATCATAAAGAGGAATAAGTGTATGCTGCTATTAGCTTGGTGGACAGACGTCCTGTGATACTGAAGTCGACAATTTATTTTCAAATGCATTTCGGCGTTTCCAAACCGCAGAACGGTTCAGATTTCTTCGTTTGCTTTTATTTGAACCCCCCGGTCACAAATACGTCTTTTTAAGGCAGAACACTTTTCACAATGGCAAGAGCAAAAGAAAAAGAAAAAGGAGCAGAAGAAAGAGCTGAATGCAATTAAATAAATGAGAGGTGTACACAGTTTTGAAGGACCTGTAAATGATATTAAATTGTTGGGACTGATCTGTCAAAGCAGACGATAGGGTTTGGTGTAAAGTAGGTCTATTTTTCCTGTTCTGTGAGGATAGGGAACGGGGATTAATGGACGCCTGCAAATGCCAGTTTCAGAGTGAGTCTAAACAAATGATCGATTAATGGTCCTCAAAATAATAGACGAAAAATTTGACAACTTCATTTCATTATGACTTAACACATCCTTTCTCTGGCCTTTCCAATGTGTGTTCACCGCATCTTTTGCCCTGCCTTTCCGTTATATTTATTACCTCCACGCACATGTTCCCCCTACATCTGTCTCTCTCTCTCTCTCTCTCTCTCTCTCTCTCTCTCTCTCTCTCTCTCTCTTTCTCTCTCTCAGTCTGTACCACTTCTTGCCTCAGTGTTACCCTTTCTCTGGCCTTTCCGATTTGTGTTCACCGCACCTTTTAGAATTGTGGCGTGAGTGTACGCACTTTTGGTTTTTTGATACAGCTAGTGTAGTCATTTACATTATTTTTTGAGAATGTTCCTGACGAAGCCCTTGGATGACCAAACGTTGAACGCATCAAATTGTTTTTTCAGTTTAAATATACTCATAACAAATCTAAATACCACATAGAAAGCCCAAATTACACCAAACAAATCCAAATATACAAATGACGTCATAAAACGTCATAATATAACAATGACAAGTTTAAATGTAAGCATTGAAATCTAAAAATTTCAAGATCTTTTGTTCTTTCATTCATTGAAAGAGAAATAAAACAGATTCGTTCCTACTAGTACAGGAGTATGAGGTTGAATGTGCAATCCCCCCCCCCCCCTTTTATTTTATTCAAACCCCCCCCCCCCCCCGTTTATTAATTTTGGACCACTTGCCCTTCCCTCCCTTTTATTCAATACTTTAGAGTATTGTATTGTATTGTATTTGAATTTGCTATTTGTACGTAATTTGAACTTGTACCAATGATCATACATAACAAGGTGGTCCACTCCTCTCTTTGAACCAATTAAAAACATGTCCTCAAAATTCGGTGGCGCCCTCTTCGCATATGCGCACCCTTTGCGAACAGAGTTGCCCTGCTGGTGTGAAAAAAAATCAAAGTGAAACTAACACGTTTCTTAAAATAAATAAGAATTCGAATTTCGGAAGAACGCTTTTTTAAAAAGGTTACGCTGACAAAAAAAAACTCTTAAGGAGGAAGAGGCGACTGTTTTCTTCGTTTCATTTGACTTTAGAATAAGAGGCGAGAGGTCATTAAAATAAATAAAAAACCTAAACTCCGCACTTAACGAACCCGAACAGCTGATGAACAGCAGTCGATCTGCGCACGCAAGGAGGTCCTATTTCTATTCTTCTTCTGGAGAAACGAAAGAGAGCTTCAAAACAGACTGCGGCGCCATCTGAAGCAATGAGCGGACTTCCGGTAGACACTCTTTTGGCTGAGTGGACCATCTTGTTATGTACAATCTTTGATTGTACGCATAATCTTGCACTAAACTTTCCTATTGTACATTCGAGCTTTCTATATGGCGTGAATCTTTCTATGTGACATTTGAATTTGCAATATGGCATTTGTATTTCTTATGCACATTTGATCTGAAAATTATGTTGCACTACAAAACGCTGTGGGATATAGGCTTGCATTGATCTGAAGACTACTGCCATTTTCACTATAGTCACGACTGGGGTATTTTGTTCCACCAGTTAAGCAAGCGTTACAATCCTTTGTGGATGAGTCTGTTGAGTGAGCATTCGCTCTCTTACTTCATCTAGCCTCTGTTTCAAATCGTACTTCCAAATTCACAAGCGTTCTCGTTGATGTTTAGAAAAGGTGTGTTGGGGAAAAGATATTTCACCCCCTGTCTTTTGATGAGTTGCCATTTAAAGGTTTCCTTTGTGCTCAAGCGTTCTAACATACAAAGCATACTTTGTGGAGGGGATTGTTGGAATAGTTTCTTTGAGGGATGGGTTGAAATAATAGCTGCCATTCCCTCAATTTGAAAGTCGTGAAAGACCAGGCCACCCTCAGCAGTGACAGCAAAATGTTGTCGTGCGGTTCGGTTCCCTTCCAGCCTGCACTACTCAAACAAGGCATTGACCACGCTGTGCTCTTCTTCAGTTTCTCTTCGTCAACAGCTCGATACCAGCCTCATTCGATGAAAACAGATTTATACCGCTAAATGTTCTGCATCAGCAATACTGCATATTGAAGTCTGGATATAATGACTAAACACATCCTGATCATCTAAAACCAACAGGGGTTATTTTGGTGCAACGGGGTTGGTGTTTTTGATGGTTAGTTAGTTAGTTGGTTAGTTAGTTAGTTAGAGAATGATTTTGTTATTTTGTTGTTGTTTTTTTTAATCAAGCACCCACTATCTGTCACCTGAAAAGCTGTATCGTTCTTAGTTCTGTAAGGCAGTGCTGAAGCACTCAGCCCCCCCCCCCCCCCCAACCCTAATTATCTCAGTTGGGACGACTAGGGAGAAAAACATTTCAACTCACGAGTTTTCGTCTCTCATGCGGACGTTCCTTTGACTGTCCAAGTCGACTTCCCTGGTCTCCGGACACACCAGCTTGCTGACGGCCAGGGCGGCAGGTGCCGAGATGACTGCGGCTGTTAGCAAATGACTGGCAGGCGCCTTATAGAAACAGTGGCGTTTATTATCAAAATTATTTGATAAAGACAAAATGAAGTTGGGAAATAGTAGCTTTTGCTAGTGTATGGCTAGCTGGTGCCCGGAGTAAAGGTAATGTTCATCATTTTTTTTAGCTGTGCACGGTGTTCTGACCCGTAACCCCGACTGACTACACACTGCCTGTTATTTTGTAACGTAAAGATCTACCCCATTTAACAAATTTTCCCCTAACGTAACTGAGCAAAAAACCAATATGTTTCTGTTTACAAATAGCTCCAACACTAATTTGTATAGCGTGTAGCTAATTGAGGCTGCCTATTGACTAGTGACGTTCGTATAGACTAGTGACGTTCGCTAGGAATGCGAATGTTAAAATCACGTAGCTCATTCATTTAAATGTACTGCATTGTTCTTTTCATCTGAAATGATATAGTTAAGCTAGTTTTTAGACACCAATAATACTGGAATTTTATCAATTATACAATACCATCTCAAGCTTTATCATTACCACCACCACCAATATCATCATCATCATCAGCAGCAGCAGCAGCAACAGCAGAAGCAGCAGAAGCAGCAGAAGCAGTAACAGGACAAAAACAAGAACAACAGCAAAATAACAAAAGCAACAACGACAGGGGCAATAACAATATCAAATACTGCAATACTTAAAACAAGAGCTATCACCCCCCCCCCCCCCCCCCAAATCACCATCACCACCACCATCACAATCATCAGCACCACCGCCACCACCACCATCACCACCACCACCACCACAACAACAACAAAAACAACAACAACAACAACAACAACATCCAAAACAACAGCAGCAGCAGCAGCAGCAGCAGCACCAATCCGTAGCACTCACCCCAGCCTGTATAAACATGGCCATGAAGGCGCCGGAGATGCTGGCAAAGCCACAGGTCATGATGGCGTGTAGCTCCGACCTGGTCACGGAGTGTAGGTAGGGACGGACAAGCAGGGGCGCCTCCGACTAGACGACAGCAAATATATGTAAGGAGAATAAATTATAGGGAGTGGAATGGGGTGGAGGGTTAACGGGCGCACTGGTGTGGTTTGCTCATTCTTTCCTATCAAAATTCATCACACTGACCTTATCTCCTCTTTTCTGTATTTGATACTCTCTTGCAACCTTAACTCCTTCTTTTTTGTGTTTGATAATCTCATGTACACCTCTAATCTTCGGCACTAATGTGTCCTTATTGTGTTAGAGGTGCCGTAAAGCAAAAAAGCAGTGGAACGGAATATTCTGGGAAGTGTGATTAAACATTGTAACCCTACTCAGATTCCAACTTTTAACGTCTACTGTGTCAGATCAAGGAGACACCTCACCACAGTAGCTGACAATGCATCCCCCAATCAAAAAGCTCACTACAATATTGTCCCTCATTACCCTTGTTAATGTTCTGATCAGGGGTACATACCTAATCAATTACGAACAAAACTTCATGAGAACACAGAAAAGCAACAAATGTCAATTTTTAACTTCTAGGTGTATTGTAGAGTTAGTTAATTTAGTACCGTAAATCATTTGTAAACAATTACTATCAGCTTCATGTGAGGTAGAAAATGACGATGTCGACCAAACATCCTTTTCTACACTACCGATAACCATTGTCAGGTTGTTTAAGAGGAGGTCCGTTCGAATAGAACTTCCATCCCCGTTAGTACGGAGCAAATGCTTAGAGGGCCTTAAAACTCTCTCAATAAATGCAAAGAGCAATAGCATCCGCTTGGGAATCGAACTTGGGTGAACCATACCTTAGATCAGTATGGTACCAACTGAGCCATTGGTGTGCCTCAAAGAAAAAAAGTTGTTTTGCTTTTTAAAAAGGTAGGTAAAGAAAAGAACTCTTTGTATATAATTTTAAATCTGTATTTTTACAACTGTATTTCAGACATTATAACGTTAACAAGTAAGCAATAGCGCCTGTCACTGCAAATACAAGAGGAGGAATACTAGATGCCTACTTCGTTCACGTATTATCTAAGATATAGATCTGGATGTTGAAAAAAACTAACAAAAGTATGAATGACAATATATTTCACGCTTGGGGGCAGCTATTACATTTTCTTCTTCAAGACGCTACTGAACTGGACGAAATAAAAAGCTCTTCATAAAGGTATTCTACCGTTGTGTACGTTTTGTAGTCTTGTAAATAATCATCGCTTGCCAAAGCAAATAATGAAGTCTATCGGCAATAATGCTATGTTTTGCTTAACATACTGCAAGAATGAAACAGTGACTTACCAGTCCTATGAAAATGTTGGCAGCTGAGACCACAGACTCCACGGGCCCTGTGCCCAGACAAAAAGCCAGAGCGCCACCTATACGGAGGACGGTGAACTCCAGGACACCCACATAGTCCAGTACAAAGATCATGGCGTTGAAGAAGACGATCACTCCTGCAGTCTGGAATTGGTAGGTGTGATGATGATGATGCTGATGCTGATGATGCTGATGCTGATGCTGATGCTGATGCTGATGCTGATGCTGATGCTGATGATGATGATGATGATGATGATGATGATGATGATGATGATGATGATGATGATGATTTTATCCTTTACATGATGACGTTCTAGATGACACAACGTAGAGTGATTTTGGAAGCTAATGTTAAACTGTAAACAACATATTATGTACCTGTATCTTTAACTTATCCATGTATAATCCGTAAAGGCTGAGCAAAAAACTCACAGAGAAGAAGAAACCAGGTCCTTTTGCCTCGAAACTAGCGCCGAGCACAAACTTGGAGCCCTTGTCTGAGAGATTGACCACGGTGTTCACAACGTTGCCCATCCACTTGAAGGCGCTATAGCCGACCTCTGTCCGCAAGACCAAACTGGCAAACACGAACTGGATGATCAGCCCCCAGAACACGGGGTGCCAGTTCACCTGTAAAGTTTTCCAAAAATTGATTTGAGAGCGACTCCGATCAAATTATTCACCCCTGTGCATGTTGTCTCATTGTCTCAACCGAGTCTGGCGTCAGAGACGCAACATTCCTGAATGGGGAAGTCCCTCTTCTCAACTATCTTCGTCTTTCTGCTTGCGTGGCGACCAGGGGTGGGTGTGGGGGGGGGATCTTTATATTTATTACAAGCATCTCAGTGCTAAACATAATATAAAGACTTTACCAAACATGCATTCTTTACGACCGACATGTGACTCCCGATACTACTAACTGTTGTTGCTGTTGCGATTGTTGTCGTAAAAGACGTCTCCCAATCCTACACCGCCTAAAATTCGACAATATTATGTTTTCGGAGATTGGCTACTTTGCCTATTCATATCAGAGGTAAAGTCGGCCCCGTGGGATACACCGCAGTAGTTAAACGTAGGCCTTCAATTAGCAAAAGAAAATCCAGTTCAGCGAAATTTCTAATCCGGTTCTACGTCTTTTTTGTGTCTGTATCGCTATAGTTCTCAAGCATTATTAATTTACTTATTTTGCCATGCTCTTGTGCTTCATTTTAGTTCAATTTAAAACATTTCTAAGATCACGAATTGATCATAATAGTACTCCGAGCGTTACAGAAAAAAAAGAGTCGCTACCCCACTAAGGGGAGTAACTCACCTTCCATGTGGTGACAGGAATCTCTTTGTGCCAAATTTTTGTGTTCTTTCCACCTTTACATATAACTGATGTGTTGGTCTAATCTGGAAAAGTTATCTTTTCTTCGCGATGCAAATTTCTGTAATGTGATTGGTCAAACATTTCAGCGAGTACTCACCTTGCTCGGGCTGTGAGAAAATAAGAAGCAGATGAACACTATGGTAGCGATGCCAAGGATTGCCTGAGCGTTCCTGTGGTGCTTGGTGATGATGTCAACCCCCAAGTAGATCACTAAGGCCAGTGTCGACACCGCATACAACAAACTGGATGTTGAAAAGAGCGAAAGGCCAACATCGGCTCAATGTCAACAAACCTAAAGACTACTGGTAGATAGATAGATAGATAGATAGATAGATAGATAGATAGATAGATAGATAGATAGATAGATAGATAGATAGATAGATAGATAGATAGATAGATAGATAGACAATGGAATACAACACAGAGGTTTGAAAATGTCTCTTAGAAGAGAAAAGAACAGCATTTAGAACAGAGCAAAGGTTTATGAAATGCCCTCCATGTTATGGTGCCATCCTTTTAGAATTATTAGTGGCTGCTTACGATATACCTCCACGGTTGGTTGTGCGTGGTCATAAAAGTTGCGTTTTTTATGACATAATTTAAAACATAATTAATTTGTTTGATTTCAGTAACTGTCCAAACACCGTTGATCTTAGAATTATACACATATCCATAATTGAGCAGTTGATAACGTACACAAAATACGTGGGTTTTGTATCAGGAATTGATCAAGTTTTGTTGTCCTCAAAATGCATTCCCTGAAAGCTGGCGGTCCTTTCAGCGGATTAAGAGTCAATAGTTTCAGATCAGTAAGTAAAACCTGATTGGTTACATATACCAATTATCAAACTGACATCTCGGTATATTTTATATCCATGATTCTCTTGAGGTCATCTTAGTGTAGCAGTTAAGACATTAGCAATTTAGATATTCAATCCGACTAGTGTTTTCAAGGTTCTATGATCCTTCGCTGACAAACGAAAGTGAAAACCTTAAATAGTGTAAGTAAAAAGGGGTGCAAATTAAAAACAGAAACTCTTGTGAGATAGAAACTATACATTTTATACTGTTTCATTCCTGGGACCGTAACGCCACATGCTTTTGAGTTTCTACTCCCTGGCATTGATTGCCCTATGTGGTGTAATGATTGTCATCACTTCTGTTCCCTTTTTGTCGAAACCCCTCTGTGTTGAGCATTCAGAACAAACCGTATGTGTCAAAGAGGGGTGGGGGGTGGGGGGGTTAAGCTCATACTTTAAAAAATCGGGCAAAGTGTTGAGACTAAACTAAAAGAAATAAAGTTATGGAAAACAAAACAAGTTATCTTACTACATCGTCCACGTCCTCACTCGTTTCAACGTCTTGGCCGAGCCATACCAAGAGCATACAGAAGGGAACATCTGAAAACATTTCCACTTATCGCTGAACGCGGATGCTATGTAAATGGCCAGACCAACAGTGACTCCCACCAAGATATAGGAACCTTCGTCCCCAAACCTGTGGAGTAAATATTTTTAATGATTTCTTTCAACAAAACATGTATTACATGATATCTCTCTCGTCATATATCCTTTCCAAGAACTAAACCCCAACTTAGTTGACATCCTTAGAGTGGACTCTTTTTTTTATTACTTAAAATCGTTTCCAAAGAAACGTTACACATTTACAAGTAGATAGCGTGCCCAAGTCCAATATTTAATAATATGTGTGATCTTGACAAGTTTTGTTTTGTTCAGGGTTTGATTTGGTTTTTTTTCGTTTTGTTTTATTATCTTTTATTATTATAGTAGAGGGTTTTACGGTGCTCACAATTGCATAAGGTCATATGAGCGCCAAGGGGTGGATGTCAACAGAGAAGTCTTTGCAGGGAATCAGATTTACTCTGCTCACCTCTCTAGCTTCAACAGCAGAAAGTCTGCTTCAAATATCAAGGCACCCCGGAAATAGCGGGTCACAAGAGTGACAAACATACAAACGAAGTAAAGAAAAATGACAATAATAAGGATTTGGAGAGAAAAAGCAGCAGTTCCCTGTTGTAGATCAGGCACAGTTTTGAGCATGACATGAATCAGCCCATTTACAATTCTACTGTGCTTGAACGAGAAAAGTCCCCCCTTTGGAATGGCCTAAGAACAGTACAGTCAGTGGCATTGCCCCTGGGGGAGTTTTGTTTTATAAATAAATATGAGTATGCTACTGAACACTGACAAATACTGTAACGTCTCTTTTATCAGAACAGTTATTTTAAATTTCTTTTTTGACAATATATACTAAGCAACAAAAAACAAATGACTCTGCTTTATTCTTGGTTTCCCTGCTTGTTTTAATCAAAGCGATTTGCACGTGATTATGATAAAACAAACGCGCACACACAGTGGCGTCCAAAAGAAACTTGAAAATGTAATCACTCAATAATCGTGTTAAAGCCATGCATTGCCCACGCATGCAGCATACCAATTTAACGCTAAATAAAGCATGCATCAAATCAAGATACATTAATAATTCATCTATGTTAAGGGACACTTGAGATAAGTTTATTCAAAATTGAGCTTTAAAAAATCAGGTTTGGCAAAATTGTGCGAAATCAAAGAAACGCAACATTGGCTTCACGCATGTATTGAGGAGCATCAATATTGATAGAATGGATATACATTGCATATCCAAAGAGAGGAGAAATTTGTCTTTTCCATAAACAATATTTCTTTACGATATTTAATTACGTACGATAATTATAAATTAAACAGAAAACAGAGCAATTACAAATGCCACGCAAAACTTGGAAAGAACAATAATAAGTGTGCTGATTGTTATTTTGCTTAGGAGCCGTTGGTTTTGTTTAGTGTATCGACTCTATTAAATTTCGGACATAATTATCTGTCATTTCATCCCAAATATCACAGAGAGTTGCAAACAAAGGATCTGAATTGGGAGCAAAGTCGCTTTTCTTCAGTTGCTGTTTCATGGGACTTAACATGCATGTAGGATGCACATCGAGGCTATTTACATGTATTGGTGACCATTCCAACGTTGATTTAATTTGGTTTTCCAAGAATTGTCTAGGGGCATTGGCCCTGCGAGAAAGTGCTCTGCTATGCATGGGGATGTCTACTTGAATGACACCATGACGAAAATAAGGGAAAGACATGACGTTCCACTCCAGCACTTGCACGATGTAGTCCACTAAACCAAGCCATATGGTGATTCTCACGAAGGCGGTTTTGTTCATTCCTCTCTAGACCACTCAAAACCATGTCAGTTTCGTGGCCTCTGTTTCTCACTGACATATGATCATGTCCAACATTTAACTTACACAGTCCACGGAAAGAAAGCATTCGTACTCTACACGAAACCAATAGCTTCTAACCAAAAATTTAAAAAATACTAATGAGCACATTTCATGTTACGTCCGGGCTTTGAGTGTTAATTTTTACTGCTCTGTTCTCCAATCTGTTTGAAAATACCACAAGAAGATGCTGTTCTATCATTCACAAGCAACAATATTCTCCTTGCATTTTATATTCAATACATGTCCATTCCTCCAAAGTTGATGCACATCGATATACACGCTCACACACTTTTACGTTTCTTTGATTTCGCACAATTTTGTCAAGACTGTTTTTTAAGGTCAATTTTGCGTGACCACATCTCGGGCGTCTTTTAACAAAGGAATATGAAAGGCTCAGATGATGAAGAACTTATTTAGCTTTAAATTGGTTTGCTGCGTGAGTGGATAGTGCTAGGCTATAACACGATGGTTGGGTGATTACATTGTCAAGCTTCTTTTGGACGCTACTTTATACTCACGAACACCCACACACATACACACACACGCATACCCACACACACACAGACGCACACACACATTACACACACGCACACGAGTATTCACTCATTGATAGAACTTTTACAAAGTAAACGGGTGACTGACATGAATCTCTAAAAGAACTTTTTTGTAAAAATATGTATATTGTGTATAGAAGAAAGCCGAGGTAAGTTTGCCATACAATCACTAACCTGACTTTCATACAGTAAGCGAAGTACATGAGATACACCAGAAGCAAAACAGATCTCAAAACGAAGAGGATATCACGTCTGTGTTTGGTGTACGTCACACCCACCCAGTGCTCCACCGCGGCCACGCCCCTGACACAACAGCCAGAGTCGTCCGTGACGTAATGGTCAGTATCTGGGGAGTCTACCACGACCAGGGGTTCCAGTCTCAGTTCTGTGTCTTTGTCTGTGACATGATCTTCTTCTCGTGGTGGTTGTTGGCTGTCTGCGTTCACATCTTTGTAATTCGGTACCTCCATATTTCCTGGTTGGATACGAACTCGTCAAGGATCTGCGAAAAACACCTCTATTTCATTTGATAATGAAAGGCTATATCGTACTTCTATGGTTTCTTTTTTAAAATTATAGCAGAAAGATAAAACTTGCCTGGTTTTTAAAAAGGATATGATGCAGTAAGTACGTGAAATCAAGAAAGAAAACTGTGAATAGGGTGATCAAGTGGCTCAGAAAAATACGCACAAGCAAGATGGCCCAATCACTGACAAGAGCAAGAGCCGAACTATTCTCTATTGCTTTACCTCACTTTCTTTGTTTAACGAAATGCTTTGTCACTATAGGCCTACATTAAACCGTCCCCTTTTTCTTTGTACTCTCGTCTATATATTTAATATATATTGTATTTATATCGATACCTATGTCTATATCTATATCTAGATATAATTAAGTATATATTATATATTATATCATATATATAATTTTACATATATATATATATATACATACTTGAAAATATATATACATATATATATATATATATATATATATATATATATATATGAAGTGCAAAAAAACAACCCGCGAATTTTTATTACAATACAATGATTGACAAAATGCAACACCTAGGTTTCAAGTTATTTGTTGTGTTTATTAGCTGAAACTTTGCACACTTCTTGAGTGACATAGCTGACATGAACTGAGGGTCCAACACATTCATCTGAGCTCACGTTGACCTTGACCTTGGTGAGCAAACTTAGTAACGCGTATGACCTCCCCGTGCAGCGATTACAGCGAGGCATCTTCTGTTCATAGAGTCAATCAAACGGTTGATCGAGACATTTTAGATGCCACTGAAGATCTGGATGATGGCTGCTGTCAACTGGGCTGCGTCTGGTTAAGCTGTCTTTGAATCACGTCCCACAAATGTTAAATAGGCTTCAAGTCAGGTGAGCGAGGTGGGTGTGCCAATAAATTGACATTGTTCTGCGCCAAGAAATTCTGGGTAGCTCGTGCGGTATGTGGTCGTGCGTTGTCTTGTTGATACAGAAAGTTAGGATGCCTCTATAGAAAGGGCAGCACAAGAGGTGCCAAGATATGTGCCATGTAGCGCTGAGCCGTGACGCCATTTCCACGTCCTGGACCAATGTTCTGGAAGATGACAGGTCCCAATCTATTATTCAACGCTAAGGTTCCCCATATCATCACGCTCTCGCCTCCCCAGGGGTCGCACTCCTGAATGTTGTTGTCGTAGTGAGTCGGGTCTATAGGTCACACACGGACGCAACCATTCGCTGGATCGAGGCAGAACCTGCTTTCATCACTGAAGAGGAATTTCCTCCACTGTGTGTTTCGCCAGTTGACATGCGTCTGCGCCCACTGCAGCCGTTGCTGTAGATGCCTTGGTGTTAGGACAGCTCCCTGCTAGGGACACCTGCAGTGAAGACCAGTAGTCACCAATCTGCGTGACACAGTCCAGCGGTTAAGTTGGCTCCCATGGTTATTATGGCAGTCTCTGTAGCCGGCTGAAACGGATCACGGCGGTACCGACGAACGATGACACGATCATGGGCCGGAGTTGTCACCCTTGGTATTCCGCGTTTTGGTCGATGGTGCTTGGATGGACACAAAAAACCTGGGACACCTGTTCCACCGACTCACCGGCCGCCAGTCGTCCGACAGCTCTTTCTCTGTTTTCCATTGATAACCTTGTCATGTCTGTACCTCGTCTTTTTGGATATGAATGCAACATTTCGAGGCGTGGATTTTATAGGCATACGCCCAGGAATGAGTGAGCATAAACTCACCACTCACAACAAGTTGCAAGTGTGTCTCAGTGGTGAGTGATGACTCGTCAGTTTTCTATTGCTTATGCAGCCAATGACATCTTTGCGACGCTCAAAATTAATACCCAATCAAGACACTCGCGGCAAGTGTTGAGTGATATGAGTTCATATCAGCATTGGGCGATTACACCAACATAAAAAAATCGGGGTTTTTTTTCCTTCTGACTATATAGGATAGATAGATAGATAGATAGATAGATAGATAGAGAGATAGAGAGATAGAGAGATAGATAGATAGATAGATAGATAGATAGATAGATAGATAGATAGATAGATAGATGTTGTTTTCAAATCCTTTTAGCTGCGAACATTTCGCTCTTGGCAGCGCAATTCCTCCCTCAAGTAACCACATGTCCTTGTCATCTGGTCAACGCCCAACGACAGAGTAGAGAAGGCTGTGTAAGTATGTAGGTGTGTGTAGGAGCCTGCGTCGAAGAACTGCCAGGTTTGGGTACTGAAGGAAAAGATGTTCAAAGGTCTTCTCGTGGCACTCACAGTGTCTGCAATGGGGTTCCCGGGTTATTTCTGTTTATGTGCTTGTCGGTGTGTAAATATCATGTGCGAGCTCTGAAGATTTTTTCCGATTTGGTCTGTCCATGTAACCGAAGAGAGATCTTCCTGTTTCTGCGTTGGCTCATCTGTTTAGCCACTCGTCTCTGCTTTTGTTTTGGATGATCCCTCTGCAGGTCTGTAAAGGGGCGGCTGTGTCTGTCTGGGGCAGGCATTCTCCAGTCTTTGATAGCTGGTCTACAGTTTCATTCCATGGTACTCCCGAATGGCAAGGAACCCACTACAATATAGGCCGGACGCCATACGAAGTGCCCATCTGTTTTACAAGGCTGAGAATGTTCCTGTCACCTCTGTAGTCTCCTCTTCTCTTGCCGACTTGGAGTACTGACATTGAGTCAGAGAAGACAACAACATTCCCTGGTGTTACTGCGCCTTAAAAAGTCTTGGGTGATCTGCTCTATGGTTTTTACTATGGTAAATCTCTCTGCGTCATAGTTGGAGCTGTATGTTCCACATGGGTCAAATAGTTAGGTCTGCTTCTTCTCTCCAATTTTGTTTCGATATTTGATCTTGTTGTCACTTGATGTTTGGATAGTTCTGCAAGACAGAAAGTTCTGGATCCAGCTGTACACTCTTCCTGCTATCCCAAGCTTTTGCATTTTGTAGAACAGTCCCTGTCTCCGCACAAGGTCATACGACTGCCTCAGGTCGATGAAGGCAGCCACAACATTGTCTTTATCTTGAAAGGCATCGCTGGTCTTCTGGACAAATCTGATGTGGTGGTCCATAGTTCTTTTGTTTTTCCTGAATCCTGCCTGTGATGTGCTGATTGTACCGGTGTTTTCCATCCACCAGTACAGTCTGTCGTTGACCATTCTCTCGACGACCTTACCCAGGTAGAATGTTAAAGAGATTGGTCTATAGCGTGAAGGCTGGCTTGATGGTTAGTCCTTCTTCAGTATCGGTGCAATGTGTGCCTTCTTCTATTTTGTTGGGAGCTGTCCCACGTTCCAGGTCCTCTTGAAAAGGCCAGGAGTATGGAAAGGGAAGAGTCTGTCAGGTTGAGGATCATCTTATTGGTGATGTGGTCTGGTCCTGGGGTCTTTCTCTTTTTCCACTTTTTGAGGGCTGCCTTCAATTCCGTCAGAGTAAACTCCTTCTCAAACACCTCCAGGTTTGCCTTGGGAGTCTGTTCTACACTTTTGGTCCGCTGCTTCATTGTGTGGCTCAGTTTGTTCTGGTTTCCTTTCTTGTTGATGCTAGCGAAGTATTTATTCATAAACTCAGCTCTGCATGTTTCTCCGTTCTCACTTGCTTTCATTGGGGCAGGGTTTTTCCTTCTTTTTGTACCTGAAAGATTGGTGAGCAGGTTCCAGGCTTTCCTCCCGTCCTTACGCAGGTCTAATTCTCCACAATGTTCTCTCCATGTTTTTCTTTTCGCACTTTTGCTCTTCAGCTTTACCTTAGCAGTCAGGAGTTGTAGTGCTTTCTGTTTTCCGACCGTTGGGTTCTTCTCAGCGCGCCGTCTGGCTTTCTTTCTGGTCTTGGTCAGTTGTTCCAGTTTTTTGTCCCAATAAGAGTTCCCTTTTGAAATCGCTTCCTTAACAGATGTCTTTAGTGCTGTGATGATTTCCTTGTAGCACTCATCAATTTGGTTGGTCGTGCATACTTCCAGGAGTTTACTTTATGATTTCTGTTGGTAGAGCTCTCAGTTTGCTTTCTTGTAGTTTCAACTGCGTCTTATGGGGTTGGTCGGTTCTCGTTTCCTGTTTCTGGATATCTGCAGGAGCATTGGGCGGTGACCACTTCCTATGTCATCTAGGACAGTCAAGGAGCAGTGCGGGTGAAGGTAGGCAGAGACCAGGGTCAAGTCTGGTCTGCTGGGAGTTCCGCTGGCTCTAAGAAGTAGTTTGGGTGGTGTCTTGTCATTCTGAAGTGAAATGAGGTTATTTGATCTCCGTTGTTCTTCTAGAACTGTTCCTGTCGTGTCTGTATTACTGCAACCCTACAGTGGAGAGTGTCCATTAAATATCTCCCACCAGAATGGTATGTTTTTGATGAGCTGGAGAGTAGTTCTAGGTGGGCAGTTTCTATTGTAGATGGTGTAGGTTGTTCCATTCGACTGTTGCGCTTTCTCTTCCTGCATGTCAGTCTCGTCATCGGTTTCTGGGAGAGAAACCTCAGCGGTGATGTCATTCCGAATGAGGGTTGCAATACCTTGACATTTGGTGCACTTGCAGTGGTACATTGTGTAGCCTGTCAAATAGAGCTCTATCCACTTGGGTAGTCGGGTTCTTGAAGTAGGGCTACGAAATCTTAAGTCTGACAGCATCTTTGCAAGCTCCATTTTTTTGTTGGGTATTGATAAGATGTTCAGTTGGAGTATGTTCAATGTCTGGTGTCTGTAAGTTGCGGAGTCTGAGGTGTCTGGGAGTTGCTTGTGGCCGCTATACCTTCGGTGTAGGTCCCGGTAGCTGACATGTCCCTCCCATCCCCGGGTGAAGGCAAAGAGCACGGACCTTGATAACCGAGGCGACATCCGAGCTCGTATAGTTTTATTTGTCGTAGAGGCATTATATTGTTCAAGGGGTTGTAAAGGATTGTATTCATCCCTGTAGGATCTCAAGTAGGTGGTAGTCTTGTCCTGACACTGGCGTGTGCCCAAACAT